ATTTGTATAATCATATATGCAATTCTCTTAATAAAGGATCTTGGCAAGGCTGCCAAAGAGTTAAAAAAAAAAAAAAATAATATTGTATTGATTTTGTTATTATTTTTTTTAATTATTATTGTTTTTTTTTTGTTAAAAATCATACTTTATAATAATTATTTTATTAACATGTTGAGGTTAGTATTACAATTATTTTTACAAAAATGAGAATACAGTTAACCACATGTGCAACTTTTGATTGCTTATTTAAGTAATCCACTTTAAGGTTCTACACTAGATGTCAAACCTATTCCTTAATCTGTTTTCTAGACAAATTTACTTAAAAATTTCATAATTGATCTGTGATCAAGCTATCAAATTATATTGAATTGTTGTCTAAATCGTAGTAGATACATAGTTAAATTGACAGTTTAAAGGATAATCTTCTAGGAAATTATCCATTTAAACCCTCTGATCATCCGCCCCGTTAATCATTTAACTACCACTATACCTCCCGTATATACTTAAGTATACCGTCTGAACAGCATGGTACCTACCATTTTTTACTGGTATCCAGGCCATTACACATTTCAGAGCATAACACCTGCCATTAAGGTGCAAGGGGAGTAGCTAACTAACCTCGAAACCTATTTATCGCATCAAGTGATGTTGATGATGTAATATTTAGAGTTCGCAGATGATTAGTAATAATGATTACTAATCATCTGCAAGCTCAATATATTATATCACAGACATCACACGGCGCGATAATTAAGCCTTAAGAGTTTGAGTCGTGGCTCTTAAGAGTTTCAACTGACCCTATTCCTAATTTTAAGCCACAAAATTACTGCGACCCAAATAGTATTACTAGTGTTGCAGGCTAAACTGTTTTTCAGAATCGAACCGTTTTTCTGAAACGTGTTATATAATGACTATTTTTTGGAATTCAAACGTTTCGCTTAAGCAAAATCTTGTCAGAGAGAAAGTTTCAGTTTATCCCACATGAATAGTTCCTAATATTTAATAACCGTCCCAATCAATTTTGGGCAACAACATCTAAATTAATTTTTAATCTTATATATACAAGCGTTTATAATTACGTATATCTTTTAAGCATTTCTAAACAATCACCGGCACGACCCCGGGAATGGATGACTTACTAAAAGTATTCAATTCATTATCTCTATGCTTCACAATGTAAATAGAAAGCAAATTCGATGCTAAATTGTTCATTATTTCTATGCTTAATACTATTCATGGTAATTATATCAAAGATCACTTCTTTATTAAATCTGGAGTACAACTTTGAGGATATAAAATCCTAATATGTACAAATTGTGATAAGGATTATAAAAAGAAACTGAATTCCGCCTTGTCAACAAAACTTTTTTTTGGTTTATATTACATTAAAAAAAAAATTTTATTTACGTCATAAATTAAAGTTAAAATGAGTTCTAATTCTGCGCAACATCCCGTATGTGCTGAGGATATTCGTTCTAATTATCGTACAAGGTATTTATTAACATTTAACATATTTTGTTAAGTAAGCACGTGATTCGCACGTTCGTTATAAATGCTTTCCTTTCGTCTTAAAGAGGATATCTTCCCATAGAGAATTATGGATTAATTGGGAATATGAGAACAGCTGCATTATGCGGAACAGATGGATCCATCGACTTTATGTGTTATCCAAAGTTTGATAGTCCTTCAATTTTTGCAAGACTTTTGGATAACCAAAAGGTATGAGCTCTAATAATAATAATTATTATACCTATTTTTTGAAAAAAATTGATTATCTCGCAATCCAATAATCGGTCTCTTTGAAAATTTACAGGGAGGTCAGCATATATACATACTGTGATAGTAACGTCATCACGTGTTTAGTTATTGCTAAGGTTCTTTTCTTTAATGTTCGTAGGACATTTCTCGATTAGTCCAACTGTCTATACGAGCAATAAACAGCAATATCTCCCAAATTCTAATATTTTAACTACTCGATTTCTCTGTGAAGAAGGTGTCAGCGTGATCACTGATTATATGCATATCCCGGAAAGAAGTTATCGCATTCCTCCCGTAAGAACTCTGCTACCATGGCTAATTAGACACGTTGAAGTAGCTCGAGGAGAAATTTCTTTTCATCTTGAATTATTTCCAGCTTTTAATTATGCAATGGATTCGCACTCGGCCGAAATAATTAATCACAAGTCTCACCCTGACCCTAAAGAGACTACTTCTTTTGTTGGGAGTCAATGTATAAACTTTATTTCAAAAGATTTACAGATGGATTTTCGATATGTCGTGAAAAGTGGTGAAAGTGCTGCTCCACATATTGAATTCAAATTATTGAATCACGAGGAATCTAAAGGACCTTGTGTGGTTGCAGATTTTACTTTGAAAGAAACTCAAGAAGTTATATTTATTTTTCGAGAAATCTCTAACACAACAGATAGTAACAACGAAAATGGATGTGATACTAATATGCATAAATCTTTGAATCCTAATATTAGTTATTCATTGTTAAAATCAATCTTTCGTGAAACTTTGCATTTTTGGCAAAATTGGATTGCAAAATCAGCTTATAAAGGTCGATGGAGAGAATATGTACATCGAAGTGCTCTTACCTTAAAACTGTTAACTTATGAACCGGTAACATTTCGTCATTACAGTTATTTTTGTCTTGGACATAAATCTATTTTTCAATTAAATATTGTTGATTTAGACTGGTGCAGTTGTCGCAGCACCAACTTTTGGGCTTCCAGAAGGTTTGTCTTTATTAAGAAACATTTAGCACGCCTATATATTAAAATTTTAATATTTATGTCATTTATATTTTTAGCAATTGGAGGCAATAGAAATTGGGATTATCGATATACATGGGTCAGGGATTCCGCATTTACAGTCTATGCTTTGATGAGACTTGGAATGACAGAAGAAGCAAAGCATTACATAGAATTCATGGAGGAAAGATGTCAAGATTTGGTAATCTATTTCTCTTCTTAATTCTTTCATTCATAATGATAACATTGACATTAGATATAAATATTTGTTTTTTTATAAGAATCCGGATGGATCATTAAATATCATGTATAGTATTGATGGTGAAAAACGATTAATCGAAAAAGAACTTAATCATTTAGATGGATATCGAAGTTCACGTCCTGTACGTATAGGAAATGGTGCATATGATCATATTCAATTGGATATTTATGGTGAATTACTGGATGCCCTATATTTATATAATAAATATGGTAGTCCAATCTCTTATGATATGTGGGTTAGCATACGTAAATTAGTTAACTATGTATGTGATAATTGGATGATTAATGACATGAGTATTTGGGAAGTCCGTGGTGGAAAACAGAATTTTACTTATTCCAAAATTATGTGCTGGGTTGCTGTAGATCGAGGTTCATAAAATTCTTACATCCTTTCTTTTTTAATCAAAATAATCGGATTTTACTTATTTAATTGTTTACTTTTAAATAGGAATTCGATTATCAGAAAAACGTGTATTCCCGTGTCCAGAAAGAAATAGGTGGTTACAAGTTAGAGACACAATTTATGAAGAAGTTATGGCCAAGGCGTGGAATCCTAAAAGAAAAATTTTCACACAATCTTATGAAGCCTTAGATTCTTTGGATTCTTCAGTGTTGGTTATGCCTTTAGTATTCTTTATTAGTCCAACTGATCCAAGATTTTTAAGTACTATGAAACAGATTCAGATGCCACCTGAAAAAGGTAATAAAATCTATATGTATAAATATTTTTTTATTCTAGTTTTTTATTATCTGGGAAATTATAATTTAATAGCATTTTAACAGGCGGACTTTCAGTAAATAATCTTGTTTTTCGCTACAACAATCTCACCACGGACGACGGTAAATATAGTTTGTATTTGTCTTTTATTATTTTTTTACTTCCGATCCTTCATATTACATCGTTGTATAGGATTAAGTGGAGAAGAAGGATCTTTTTCCATGTGTACATATTGGTTAATCGAAGCATTAACACGTGCTGGAAAATATGATCGAAATTTACTAGAAAAAGCAGAATTTACATTTGAACAAATGATTGGATACGGAAATCATTTAGGATTATATAGTGAAGAAATTGCAAATGGTGGTGAACATTTGGGAAATTTTCCTCAAGCTTTTACTCATATTGCCCTTATTAGTGGTACGTTTAATTTAAAAAATATGTTAATGTTTTCTTGAAGGTGGTTAAATACTTAATATGTTATTATTATTACATTGTTACAGCTGCATTCAATTTAGACCGTGTGTTGAATGGACAATAAAAATGCAATACTACGTATAATGCAATATCACCTTTAGTTTAACATTACTAGTAAGTCACCGTCACTTGTGCTGGGGTTTCAACTTGTAATATTCTTCAAATTTGAGATTAACATAAAATAAAAAAAAAATACCACTGATAAATAATGAATATTGCTTTAAATATTATATTGTATTTGTTTTTATTCACGCCATAAATCTCGAATCCAATAGATAATATTTCGTAATTTAAAACATAGAAGTTTTTGTAATCCAATGTTTGTACTTGGAAACTGAGTTTTGACAAAAATTCCAGAATTCACCATTTGCTAAGTTTCAAAATAGGTTTATAAATAAAGCTTCTATAAATGTTACACATTTCAATGGCCTACAAATTTACTTGTAACACATTAAAAATAGACGAGTTTATGCCACCCGTTAGCCTGCCTTAGGACTAATGTTGTTAGCCGAAATTGTTTTGAGCTTGTAAAAATATTTCGACATTTGGTAATTAGTCTGCCGAAATTCTAAAATAATGCCAAAATTCCAAATTATGTCGAAATGTCTAAATT